TAATACAGTATAAAATTTTACAAATACAAAAAAGTAATAATAATAATAATAATAATAATCCCTCTCTGAAAAAAAATCTGCCAAGGAAAATCCTCCCATAAGTTCACTTTAGGGTCAACATAAGTCAGAAATGACTGGAAGGTACAGAAGGATGGAGACTATTTGAAACTAAAAGGCAAGTACTTAAAGTACAAAGGTGCCTCAGCTTTTGTTAATTGAGGTAAAAGAGAAAAATACTCTTTTTGGTCTGGAGGAGGCTTTTATTATGTAATCACCCATTCCTGCAATTGCATGTTGGCATACAGACAATTTTCCCAGAGCTCTTTCTGCCTTTTAATTCTTTCCCTTTTCTGCAGAAAATCTTTTAAGGTGGAGAAGGCAGAACAGTTGCCCCAAGCCCTTTGCTGATAGAGCTAGAAGTGGTTAGTCTGGAAGTTCTCACTTTGTTGTCCAAAAAAACAACAACAAAAATCTATTCTGGCACAAAGCCACAACATTCTTTTTGTGTGCTTCAAAGACTCACGTGGTGAAGAGCTGAGCATAATGCTGGAAGAGGGAAAAATTAAGATGTATTAGTCTTTCAAATGTTTTTCTGTTGGGAAGTGTAAAATGCTGCATGTCCCTCTCCGCTCAAATACAGCCAAACAAGAAAAAGGAAAAAGCAGAGCACCTGATGAACCAACCTGGACACAGAATATTATTTGGGAACACAGAAATGCTAGACCACTCGAACAACAACCATGTCAGACTACATAGATAAGCCACTGAAATCCATAAGCATGTGGACAATTTCAACAGAAAGGACTAAACTCTGAAAATTAACAAAATCTGGCTACCAGTATTCATTAAAAAAAAAATCAGGATAGTAAATAAAGAGCAACTCGAAAAGCAGGGCAATTCCAGTCAATCAAGGTGGTCAAGTGCAACATTCATACTTTCCTCAGACAGACAAGAGTTCTTTCTCCCACTCTGGACATTCCACAGATTTATAATCCCCACTTGCCTAGTTTCCAACAGACCTCACAATCTCTGAAGATATGGATGTGGGTGAAACATCAGGAGAGAATGCTTCTGGAACATGGCCATACAGCCTGGAAAACTCACAGCAACCCCAAGAAAAAGGAAGTTACTTTCTTAAAATGTCACTGCTAGCATTTTTCCTTCTCATCCTCCATTCTCTGACCATGTGGCTGAAAGCTTTTGGGATCTGAAGCCTATTTATCAAATAAGGACTTTCTCAAATTCTAGTCCAAATATTGCAAATGTTGTGACCCTTTCCAAACTATGGCAAACCTAAGATCGAACGCTCACAGGGATTGCATTGCCACTATATAATTAATGCATTTGGATGGCAATTTAAAGGCTCGTCGGAATGCTATGGAATCCTGGGAGTTGCAGTTTTACAAAGTCTTGAGCCTTCTCTGCCAAAGAAGGCTGTTGCCTGACCGAAGCACAAACCCCAGGATTCCATAGCATTGGATCATGCATTAATTGTACATTCTTGGTGCAGCTAAGTTTTTCATGGAAAGGTTTGTTGAGGAGAGCTTTGCCACGATCTTCATCTGAGGCTGACTTGCCCAAATCAAATTGGTGGTTGTTAAGTGGTGTCAGAGCCCCAGGTAGCACAGCAGGTCAAATCATTGAACTGCTGAACTTGCTGACCAAAAAGTTGGTGGTTCAAATCTGGGGAGTGGGCTGGGCTCCTGCTGTTAGCCCCAGCTTCTGCCAACCCAGCAGTTTGAAAGCATGCAAATGTGAGTAGATCAATAGGTACTGCTCCGGCAGGAAGATAACTCTGCTCCTTGCAGTCATGCTTGCCACATGACCTAGGAGGCCTCTACGGACAATGCAAGCTCTTCAGCTTAGAAGTGGAGATGAACACCATCCCCCAGAGTCGGACACGACTAGACTTAATGTTAAGGGGAAACCTTTACCTTTTAATTGGTGCTAGGGTTGTTAAAATCAACATATTTTTGGACTTTGGATGGCTGGAAAAGTCTTCTCCCAATTCGAATTCAAAGGGCTGCCTGGAGGGAGAAGCTGTGGGTCTTCATTGTGTAAGTGAGTTTTAGCCATATAATGCAGTTTCAAACCACAATAGACAGGGCCTAAGACGTTTTGAAGAAAGAGTGACCCCACTCTTGATCCCAAGGTAATGCATCCTCAGTCAGCCTGGGAAACATCTACATTATAGGATGAATGCAGTTTGACACCACTTGGCCTGTCATGGCTCAATCCTATGGAATCCTGGCATTTGTTGTTTGCTGAAAAGCACCAGTGCTCTGGAGGAGGCTCAAGGCTTTCTAAAGCAACAACTGCTGTAATTCCATGGCTTTGAGCCATGGCAGTTAAAGTGGGGGTCAAAGTGCATCAATCCCACAGTGTAGAGCAGGCAGAGACCAACTCGGGCCTTCCAGGTGTTTTGGAATTCAACTCCCACAATTCCTAATTGTGGGAGCTGGAGTCTAAACACCTGGAGGGCCCAAGTTTGCCCATGCCTGCCTTAAAGGCTGTTGAGGATAGGAAATAAGGACAGCGCCTATAGGCAATTACTCTGAGAGCAGACAGCTCAAAGCAAAAGGAACCTGCTCCTTAAAAGATTGCAAAACCAGGACAAATGAATTCTTGAAGGTGGATGAAGCAGCTCTATCTAAACAAGACATACCATACACTTTTCCAATCATTCAAGGTAACCTCTCAATATATCAATATTTAGCCTCAGGCTGATATTTCAAGTTCATACAAAAACCTATGTAGATTATCACATTCTTACATGGCACCTTGAAGACTAACACGAGGGCAGAAAGTATTGGGGGTCATGGTTTCTTTGGGCCCTTCCACATAGCCATATAATCCAGAATACCAAGGCAGAAAATCCCACAGGATCTGCTTTGAACTGAGTTATCTGAGGCCCCTTCCACACAGCTGTATAAAATACACATTGAACTGGATTATATGGCAGTGTGGACTCAGATATAATACTACTACTACTACTACTAATAAAATTATTATAAAATATTAATATATTATTATATGATATGGCAGTGTGGACTCAGATATAATAATAATAATAATAATAATAATAATAATAATAATAATCCAATCCAATACAACAGCCTGCAGAGTGTCTGCTACGGACTCATCTTGTTGTGTTTCTAATAATAATAATAATAATAATAATAATAATAATAATAATAATAATAAATTGCAGCCCAGGAGCAAGCCATCAGAACAAATGCAATTAAGGCCAGGATTGAAAAATCAGCTGGTGATCCAAAATGCAGACTATGCAAGTAAGCTCATGAAACGATGGATATATCCTCAGCTGTTGCAAGAAAATCGCACAGATGGACTAGAAACAAAGACACAACTCAGACTGTGGCCCAAATGATTCACTGGAACTTATGTCACAAGTACCACCTGTCAATAGTAAAGAACTGGTGGGATCATAAACCTGCAAAGGTAGTAGAAAATGAACACTCAAAAATACTGTGGGACTTTCGAATCCAGACGGACAATGTTTTGGAACACAATACACCTGACATCATGATTCTGGAAAAGAAAAAAGTTTGGATTATTGATGTCGCCATACCAGGTGACAGACGCATTGAGGAAAAACAACAGGTAAAACTCAGCCGCTATCAAGACCTCAAAATCGAACTGGAAAGGCTTTGGCATAAACCAGTACAGGTGGTCCCAGTGGTCATCGGCACACTGGGTGCCGTGCCAGAAGATCTCAGCCCAAATTTCTAAACAATAAACATTGACAAAATCACGATCTGTCAACTGCAAAAGGCCACCTTACTTGGATCTGGCTGCATCACTCGGCCGCATCTGGCCGCATCACCTTACTTGGATCTGGCCGCATCACTCTGGCCGCATCACTGGCCGCACCACGTTACTTGGATCTGGCCGCATCACACAGTCCTAGACGCTTGGGAAGCATTCGACTTGGGATTTTGTGTCACGAAATCCAGCATATAGATCTTGTTTGCTGTGACATACTGTGTTTTGTGCCAGTAAAATAATAATAATAATAATAATAATAATAATAATAATAATAATCTTTTCCCTTCTTCAGTGCCACTGTCGAACATTTGTCCAAGCCAAACCCCATGTTGATATCTATGCTAAAGATTTGGACAGTGTTAGTCAGAGACTGGATTTCAGTTTCAGTTTTCCCATACAGCTTCAGGTCATCCATGTACAGCAGATGTGAAATTTTGTGGTATCTCTGAGACGTTTGATAGCCAAGGTTTGTTTTTTGTAAGATTGTAGACAGAGGGATCATGGAAATGATGAAAAGCAGTCCTAGACACTTGGGAAGTGTTTGACTTGTGATTTTGTGATACGAAATCCAGCATATAGATCTCGTTTGCTGTGACATACTGTGCTTTTGTGTCAATAATAATAATCTTTATTTATACCCCGCCACCATTTCCCCAAAGGGGACTCGGGGCGGCTAACATGATGCCATGCCCTAAAATACAAGACATCAAAATAATAACCCAGTTCAACGCCAATAGTGGCTGAGGGGGGAAAGGAAAGGGCTTGAGGCTGTTAGGAATGGTGGAAGCCGAAGTCCAAAACACCAGAAGGGCCCAAATTTGCCTTTGCCTGGTGCAGATTAACCAACAATGCTGTATAGTGGTCGAAACTATAGCGGGAAAGAAGCCTCCTCTTTGGAAACCCCACTTCTTTCCCTTCCAAAGCCATCTCTGCGTCTCCTTCCTCTCTCTAGGGCAGGAACAACCTGCAAGCTAGGGAGTTTCAGGTTAACAGGTCACAGTGGTGGCCAAGGAAGAGTTTCCCACAACTTTTGGACTCCTTTTCTTTTTCTTCCTTGCGTGGTTTTGTTTTCCCAAGAGTGACTCTCTGTGCGCCTTGGGGCAAAGGATGGAGGGAAGAGAGAGAGAGAAAGAAGGGGAGAAGCCCAAGGTTGGGCCCCACTCTGCCGCCCCTCCCAGGGCTCAGGTATGCGGCCGACTGCGCATGCTCTGTGTGGCTCCGGGCGTGGCGCGCGCCTGCCTCCTGCCCGGGATGCGGGCGAAGGAGGAGGAAAGAAGGAAGCAAGGAAGGAGGGGGCCATTCAGGGAAGGAGAAGAGCCCGCCGCAGCAGCAGCAGCACAGGTAAGTCCGCTCCTCCGCTTCCAAAGCTCTAGTCCAAGCATAGACCAACTTGGGCCCTCCAGGTGTTTTGGACTTCAACTCCCACCATTCCTAACAGCCGGTAGGCTGTTAGGCTGTTAGGAATGGTAGGAGTTGAAGTCCAAAACACCTGGAGGGCCCAAGTTGGCCTATGCTTGGACTAAAGCTTTGGAACCAGTTCTTTCAGGCTTTTCTTGTTATCTCCAACTTCTGGCTTCTGTGGCATTTGTTGTTTAGCTTCGTGGTAAAACTTGGGAAGAAGAGAACCAGTGTTTCTTTATCTAACAAACTTTAAAATATTGTAAAAGTTTAGTTTGGGGGACTAAACATCTCCCAGGACGCCTTGGTTATTCTCTATTCAGTAACTGAGCGATCCTTCAAATAGTAGCCTTCAGGTTTCTTTCCCAAGTTGGGTTTCTCCTGCCCACTATTGTTTCCTTCCCACCACAGTGGCTAGAAAAAGGGGGAATGGTGTAAACATGTGTTCCTAATGAATGCCACTACAGTGGCTTCAGGTGCCCAGGAATATATGACAGTGTGGACTCAGGATCCTTCCACATAGCCCTATATCCCAGAATATCAAGGCAGAAAATCCCACATTACCTGAATGTGGACTCAGATAACTCAGTTCAAAGTAGATATTGTGGGATTTTCTGCCTTGACTTTCTGGGATATAGGACTGTGTGGAAGGGTCTTTAGATATCCCAGTTCAAGGCAGATATTGTGGGATTTTTTTTTGCCTTGATATTCTGGGTTATATGGCTATGTAGAAGGGCCCCATGTTTACCTCTCCTTCATTCCTGTGCTTATAACTATTTGATATCTTGTCACATCTTCCACACAACTATATAACTATATTCCACACAGCCCCATATCGCACAATATCAAGGCAGAAAATCCCACAATATCTGTTTTGAGATAGGTTATCTGAGTTTACACTCAGATAATGTGGGATTTTCTGCCTTGATATTCTGGGATATAGGGCTGTATGGAAGGGCCCTCAATGTGTTTTTATCCTCATGCTATAAACTTTTATAGACTTCAGATCCCTTTGCCAAATGAATAAAAGCCCCTTCCACACAGCTGAATAAAATCCTGCATTGTCTGCTTTGAACTGGAATATATGGCAGTGTGTACTCAGGGCGCTTCCAGACAGCCATATAAACCAGAATATCAAGGTAGAAAATCCACAGTATCTTTCTGCCCTCATGTTAGTCTTCAAGGCGCTATGTAAGAATGTGATAATCTATATATGTTTTTGTATCAACTTGAAATATCGACCTGAGGCTAACTATTGATATATCGAAAAGGTTACCTTGATAGATTGAAAAAGTATATGGTATGTCTTGATTAGATAGCGCTGCTTCATCCGGCAGGTGCTTGCACCTTCAAGAACCCATTTGCGGTGGTTTCGCAATAGTTTAAGGAGCAGCTTTCTTTTGCTTTGAGCTGTGTACTCTCAGAGTAATTGCCTATAGGCTCTGTCCTTGTTTCCTACCCTCAACAGCCTTTAAAGCAGGTATGGGCAAACTTGGGCCCTCCAGGTGTTTTGGACTTCAACTCCCACAATTCCAACAGTTAGGAATTGTGCGAGTTGGAGTTGAAAACACCTGGAGGGCTCAAATTTGCTCATGCCTGCTTTAAGGAGTATGGGAAGCCTTAATGCAGACTGCTTCATAGTGAGATCCCTCTTTTCCACCTGCTTGCCTTTGTGCCATTAGACTAGGCATGAGCAAACTTCGCCCATCCAGGTGTTTTGGACTTCAGCTCCCACTATTCCTAACAGCTGATAGACTGTTAGGGATTGTGAGAGTTGAAGTCCCAAACACTTGGAGGGCCAAAGTTTGCCCATGCCTGCAATGTGACTGTAGTTGCCTCCCTGCTCCACTGCTTCTTTTACCAGAATGCATTACTTTAGGCTGCATGAATTGCCATATATACTCATGTGCAGGTTGACCTTATGTATTAGTTGAGGGTAGGGCTAGGGGCCCAAAGTATGGGTTTTGATATGACCCACGATTAAGTCAGTGGTCATTCGATAGAGAGGGAAAGGGGCCAGTTACTTTTGACCACTGTTGCCATTTTCCCCATTAGACATTAGCAAGCAAAGTAAAGTAGAGGCTATCAGTGCTTCTCCTGGGACAGATTAAGCTCTTGCCTTTTGGCACTTTACTCAGAGAAGGGGCTGGTTCCTTCCCCCCCCCCCCCCCATAAAAAATAAGGTGCTTATAATACATATGTCTCCTTGTCTTGGCACTTCTGTTACCATATCTCTATAAGTCTGGATTGGACAACATTGGACAAATCAATTTCCAGTCACTGGAGAAGGGAACTCGTAATTAAGAAGCTGACCACAGAAACACATTGGAAGACCTAGAGATTCCTAGAACCGTGTTTCTCAACCGGGGGTTGGAACTCCTGGGGGAGGGGTTGCCAAAGACCACCAGAAAACACAGTATTTTGTGTTGGTTATGGGAGTTCTGTGTGGGAAATTAGACCCAGTTCTATTGTTGGTGGGATTCAGAATGAACTTTGTAGGTGAACTATAAATCCCGGCAACTACAACTCCCAAATGTCAAGGTCTATTTCCCCCAAACTCCACCAGTGTTCACATTTGGGCATATTGAGTATTCATGCCAAGTTTGATCCAGATCTATCATTGTTTGGGTCCAGAGTGCTCTCTGGATATAGGTAAACCACAACTCCAAAACTCAAGGACTTCAACTCCCACCAAACCCTTCCAGTATTTTCTGTTGGGTATGGGAGTTCTGTGTACCAAATTTGGTTCAATGCCATTGTTTATGGAGTTCAGAATGCTATTTGTTTGTAGGTTAACTATAAATCCCAGCAACTACAACTCCCAAATGACCAAATCCATCCCCCCAACCCCACCAGCATTCAAATTTCGTCATATTGGGCATTTGTGCCCAATTTGGTCCAGTGAATGAAAATACATCCTGCAGATCAGATATTTACATTACAATTCACAACAGTAGCAAAATTATAGTTATAAAACAGCAACAAAAATAATTTTATGCTTGGGGGGTCACCACAATATGAGGCACTGTATTAAGGGGTCACGGCATTAGGAAGATTGAGAAACACTGTCCTAGAGAGATGTTTTTTCTCAAAATATCTAGGTCCTCAAGAATGACTGAAGAAATTTACCATAAGGCCACATTGGATAACCTAGAGATTCCTAGAGAGATTTCATTTGAACCAAATCTGTGAATAATCTGTACATGTGGGGGGACAACTGCAATTCTGCTTTTGCGTTCTCTACATTCTACTGTCTAAAAATATTTTCTGTATTGTGCCATTGAATTTAATTGTAATACTGTGCCAATGAATCCAGCTGAGAAAAGTTACTGTTTCAGTTGAATTAATATGATAAAGATAACTTATTAGAATCACCTGACTTTATGTTTTATTCGTTTTAGGAATAACATCTGAGAACCAAGCAGTCCACAGCTTCCACTATGTCTTCCAGGCCTTTTGAAAGTCCTCCGCCTTATCGACCTGATGAATTGTAAATATATATTTTTCTGTTCTTGCAATTTCAGATAAGTAGTGTACACGGTTAAAGATATGAACATGGGCAGCTCCTACCACTAGTTGTGTAAACTGTAGGTACAATTGCACTGTTGTTGCACTGGATACTCCCCCCCCCCCCCGAATTCCTGCACTTTCTGAAGGCAAAAGTATACAGTACAGATTGAATAGCCCTTATCCAAAATGACTGGGACCAGAAGTGTTTTGGATTTTGGAGTATCTGTGGAATTATGGGAATCCAAACACAGTGTTCAGTGCTCCAGATCCACGCCTCCTGCGATTTCAGAGAGACTCTTGTCTCTCTCCAGATTTGCATCTTGTTTGTTTATTACTTCTGTTGTGCATGAAAAGCAGAGGTTGAAAAGAGACTGAGGATCTGAGAGGCTAAGGGTATAAGAAACCTAAAATACAGGTATTTGGGGGAGACATATAGTACTAGTGAGACTGCTAGTTGCTTGCTTCCATCTTGCAAACAAACAAACAGACAAGAATTCCAGACAAGAAACAATCAGGATCAGCTAACACCTCCCAACAAAGGATTCCCCCAGGCAGAAAACAACCAAGCTTTGAAGCTGCAAGGGCATTAAATACTAATCAAGGTGGCCAATTGCAACATTCACTCTTGCCTCAAACAGGCAAGAGTTATTTCTCCCACCCTGGACATTTCACAGATATATAAACCTCACTTGCCTAGTTTTCAATAGATCCTTCAACCTCTGAGGATGCCTGCCATAGATGTGGGCGAAATGTCAGGAGAGAATGCTTCTGGAACATGGCCATACAGCTCGGAAAACTCTCAACAACTCAGTGATTCTGACCACAAAAGCCTTTGACAACACATTAAACAAACAAAGAGACATGTTACAGGGAGCTGCCCCTTAATTACTGATGGCAAAAAGTTTTGGATCTTAGAGTATTTCAGATTTCCAGATTAGGAATGTTCTACCTTATCTGGATACATTTTAAATTTTGCTCTATATGTATAATGATGGATTTGTCTATAAGATTTAGAGATGTGTTGATCAATTGAGGTGAGAAACCTGTGCCCCTCTAAATGATGGTGAACAACAACTACCATCATCCCTGATCATTGGCTATGTTATGTAGGGTTGATAGGATATATCATTTAACAGCCTCTGGAAGGTTGCAGGTTCCCCATTCCTGGTGTAAATAAGCTTTCCCATATTATACACTGAATTGTTCCACTTGCAAGCTGTTTTACCGCTACCTTAGCCCACCTGATTTAGGCAAACCATATGATGGAAGGAGGGAAGATGAGCCGTTTGAATAATGGGAAAATGAATTTGCTTAACAAGCAGGTGTATGCATTTGCAGTTCACTGCAAACAGAAATCTTAGTGAGAGAATCCATAATAAATATCTATATCTGGTCATAATTTATTTTATTTATTTCCTATATTTATACCCTGGCCTTCTCACCCCTGAGGGGGGACTCAAGGCTGTCATAAACAATGATGATTAGATTTTAGACAATATCGTCCATTCAAACAAAATAGCTTTTTAACAACTTTGTTGTCTAAGTAATGGCTTAGACAGCTATAAGCCAGCTGGAATGGAAATGCAAACTGTTATATATGAATATATTAACTCTAGCATGTTGAACCTTGAAGTTGTGTCTACTAAATGGGAACAAATTCTGGTTTTAAATCAGATAAATTTAATTCGAAATAACTTACTTAGAATCAAGATGTTCTTGTTGCTCAGTATAATGACAGAGCTGCTAATCTTCACTGTTTGGGCATATTATGTTATGACCGGTGAAGATTAGCATCCTGTCAAAACATTACACCACCTGGTCTTCTCATGTTAAAACATGTGTGCTTTCTGCCAAGTTGTTTACTGAGTATGCCAAACATTTAATACTATGATATGTGAAAAAATGTGCTCAGGTTTCCAGATGTCTGGACTCACAATTTCACCTGAGGTGCATATGAAGTCTGAAGCATACAAAGTACACTGATGCATGTGTACATGCATGTGCATGAGGAATCTAGCTAAACCAACTTGACTTTTCAGATTATTATTGTCTGTGAAAGGTTAATGGTTCCTAACAGGCACTGTTGCTTTATGTTTTCATAGCAAACCTTCACAGTATGCTCCAAGCAATAACACGTATGGTGGTGAATTCAATTCTCAGCCAATGTTCTCTCAGCCTGCATATTCCTACTACCCAGATGATGAAGTGCAACATTTCTACAAATGGACTTCCCCTCCAGGAATAATTAAGATCATGTCAATTCTCATAATAGTCATGTGTGTTGGCATCTTTGCTTGTGTTGCCTCCACACTGCCTTGGGATATGGACTACTATGGAGGTATGGGAACTGGTCTAGGATATGGCTATGGCAGCTATGGAGGCACAGGTTTTGGAAGCAATTATGTTGGTTACAGTGGCGGCAGTGGCTTTGGAGGTTATGGTGGCTATGGTGGCTATGGTGGTGCATATGGCGTTGGAGGGAATTATATTGATCCTCGAGCAGCGAAAGGTTTCATACTTGCAATGTCCGCTTTTTGTTTTATTGCTGGATTGGTGGTTTTTGTAACTGGCGTTACCAGGACAAACATGTCCAGGACAAGGAGGTATTACCTCCTTCTGATAATAGGAAGTGCCATCTTGCTGTTCTTGGTGTTCATCGCTACAATAGTATATATATTGGCTGTCAACCCAACTGCACAAGCTTCAGGATCAGCGTTCTACAATCAAATTTATATGCTGTGCAGCCAATTCTATTCACCTACAAACACCGGACTCTTCGTGAATCAGTACTTGTACCACTACTGTGTGGTTGAGCCTCAGGAGGTATGTAAATCTAATAATAATATGAATGCAAATGATGTGCAGTATTTGTATTCTGAATCAGAGGCATTGTAAAAATCTAGGTTTTAATTATTCGAATGAGTTTGTTCCTGTCTCTGAATGCTTGTTTGCCCTTTGCTGGCTTATGCCACAGTGTAAGTATTGTTATTTTTCCCCATCCTGAAATGATGAAGATGGAAATGTTTGAATCTTATTTGCCTAAGTTATATTCCTAGAGACAGATTAATGACTCCATATGATGGATGTAGAAACTCAGATTTAAAGTGAACAGAAACGATTATGTAAAATCAGGATTCCAACATATGGCTGTACTACACCTATCTACCTGAGTCAGCCTTCAAGTCGCCTGTTGATTTATGGCAGCTCCATGAATTTTCATAGGGTTTTCTAAGGCAAGGAATACTTAAAGGTGGTTTTGCCAGTTTCTTCCTCTGAAATATATGGCCTACAGCACCTGGTGTTTGTTGGCAACTTCATATCCAAGTCAGATTACACCTATAAATTGTTGGATAAATCTGTCTACTCTCTTTAACACTCTCCTTGAAATATTGAAGTATTTCCTATCAAGCTGCTGGAGCCAACAAATGCATCAATCTGTTTAGCTGTTCTTTCAATTGACATTCTGATTTGTCCTGAGCAATTATGCGAATAGTCGCCAATTCTAGATACATTAGAATTGTTTTGAGTAAGCTTCCATTCTCATTCTTGTAGAAAGGGACAAACCTGAATTTTAATGATCAACATTTTAGGTCTGTGGATCATCAAGAAGATATGTAAAATCATCTGGAGACATTAAGAAGATGCCAAATAGAATAGAGTCCCGCTTAACCAACCTTTGCTCATACAATGTTCTGTATTATCTGATACAGTCTGCCTCCTGATCCACAGCTGTTTCAATACATTGCAATGTTTTGCTGCTAAATTCATAAATACAGTAGTTATTACATAATGTTATTGTGTATTGAACTACTTTTTCTGTTGATTTGTTGTAAAACAATGTTTTGGTGCTTAATTTGTAAAATCATTATTATCCAACATTTCTCCTTATCCAATGTTCTGCCGGCCCATTTATGTTGGATAAGCGAGACTCTACTATAGTTGGAAGCATATTTTGATGACAATAGAAGTAATTTAATTTTACTCAAATTGGATTTCCTCCTAAAGAATTGATCATAGACATGTTTGCCAAACTGTTTCACTATGTTCAGTAAGAACTGTGTCAAATGCCTAGGACTGCAACATCAGTTATTTTTTGGATAGATGCAGAATTCAGCCGAAAGCTTTTGAGAGATTTCTGCAAATGGGAATATGAAGGGCAGGAGAAATGGCTCTACGTGTTTCCCTATTGCCCTTTTTTGAGACTGAATGGTGATCTAAGATTAAAAACAGACTCGGGAAAGAGTGAAACAATTGGAGCTGAGCAAGTAAAAGTGTCTTCTTGAGACATATAGTAGTTAGATCATAGAATCATAGAGTTGGAAGAGACCTCATGGGCCATCCAGTCCAATCCCTTGCCAAGAAACAGGAAAATGGCATTCAAAGATGTTTAGGATTATAGTGGTATTTGGAAATCTAATCCAAATCTAGAGCAGAACCATAAGGAAGACTGAACGAAGGAAGTTAGATGCTTTTGAACTGTGGTGTTGGAGGAAAGTTATGAGAGTGCCTTGGACTGCTAGAAGGTCCAACCAGCCCATACTCCAGGAAATAAAGCCTGACTGCTCATTGGAGGGACGGATATTACAAGAAAAAATGAAGTATTTTGGCCACATAATGAGAAGACAGGAAAGCTTAGAGAAGACAATTATGCTGGGGAAAATGGAAGGAAAAAGGCAAGATGGATGGATGTTATCCTTGAAGTGACTGGCTTGACCTTGAAGGAGCTGGGGGTGGCAACGGCCAACAGGGAGCTCTGGCTTGGGCTGGTCCATGAGGTCATGAAGAGTAAGAAGCAACTGAATGAATAAACAACAACAAAATCCAAATATAATTGAATTGAGTAAAAAAAAACCCGAAGCATCTATATATATATGAAGTATGCATTCATTATAATTTGTGGCTTTTGCCCATCAAACACAGGCAAATGAGCATGCCTACAGTCTTGGGATGAAGTGGCCCTAGGATGCCTTTTTAAGGCTCTTGTTTAACCTCATGGCTAATTGAACCAAAGATTATACAAAATGGCACTTGTAATTAGGAAAGCACATCATGTCATGTCACCTTTTAACATTATTACTGTCTTAACTTAGCTGAAGCTTGAACTTCTGGAAATGGGAGTGTGTCAGTGTAATGGATTATATAGCTAGATGCATATGAGGAAACTTCCACCTTTGTGGAAATGCTGGTCTGTTTTGTTCACAATTGATCAGTAGTGTGCTAAGTGAAGTTATAGAACAATCCTGAGAGGTAGGCTATTGTTTTTAGTATTGGCTATCTAGCAGTAGCTGCTAAACTGGAATTCAAAAGGGGCAGAACTCATATTTAAGTCTTTTTTTTTCTTGAAGGCTTTAAAATGCAGTCCAACATCAACAAATGTATTTGTTTATTTCCTAGGCGATTGCCATTGTGCTAGGCTTCCTGATTGTCGTAGCTCTTGCCATAATAATATTTTTTGCTGTGAAAACCCGAAGCAGAATAAATTACTATGGTAAACCGAATATTCTGTGGGATAATGCGAAAAGCTACGAGGAGGCTCCCAATGTGGAAGAATGGGTAAGTTAAGTTGTTTTCATATTTGTTTTGGAACCTTGAATAATTGTGGGTTTTGTGGCTATTTAAAGACACTGGAGACAGAAGTGTTGTTATCTTTTGTGGCAATACTAATTTGAACCATCTGCAAAGCCATGTTTGTTGAAGCCATGTTTTAAATTTGATTCATGATAATGAGGCCAGGCAGATTGTGGGACACTTGAATGGATTAGTGTGGGAGCGTGTAAAACTGCAGCTTGATCTCAAAATGAGCAAGAAACATGAGTCATTTACTCTTTTGAGTTGAGAAAAGTGTCTCGGGCTTTACGTGGATTAGCCATCCAAGCTGACTTGTAGATGTTGATTGCCAAATCTAAAGTATCATAGGGAATTCCTTGTTGCAAGTCTGTGTCATTGTTGTGAGACAACAACATGTGATATAACATCTAGACACCGTCTGTAAATGTAAAAAAAATGAGCATTTACAACATTCTATTTTTTAAAATAAGAGCTGTTTAGCTTTGAAACATATGGTTCTACTGTGTGTTTAATCATCAAAATGCTCCCCACTGACTATTATTGTCTTTGTGCATGAAGTATTCACTATGTACTTTGATATTTTATGACTTTCATGTGACGCTGCCTTGCTTTCACCTTTACTGGAGGGTTAGTGTAAAGAGACTGACTATTTCAAGCAGGGCTTTGAATGATACGAGAGGTAAGCGTTTCGGTGAGACAGTTTCGGGGCGTGTTCTTTGCTAGGTAATGATCTTGTTTACTCATGTTTCACTCCGACAGGGAAGGGCCGAATAAAACTCAAGCAGCAGCTCTTAGGGAAGAACGATACCTGTGCCTTTTGTCTGTATTGTTAGTCAAAAAGTTCCAGGTAGAAAATTGGAACTAAATTCTGATATTTGAACTGGCTTTGTGGAAAATACAGATTATTATCTCGAGAAATCACTGCTCTCAATTGTAAAAGACTTCTTTCATTTAACTTCTGTACTACTGTGTTGTTTTCTTACCTTCATGTTTTAGGGTAGCTGCCTCTAATAGGCATGGGCAAACTTGGACCCTCCATTTTGAACTTCAACTCCCACAATTCCTAACAACCTACCGACTGTTAGGAATTGTGGGAGTTGAAGTCCAAAACACCTGGAGGAAGGCCAAAGTTTGTCTATGCCTGCTGACATTATGGCCCTCCAGGTGTGTTGAACCAACCACAATTCCTAATGGAAGGGCTGTGATGTCCAGAGATGCGAAAAGCTGTAGTCTAATATATCTACAGGGCACTAGGTTCTTCTCAGATGTAATTCAGAATTACTCAGATACATTGCTTGTTCAAATGTTAATTAAGCAATTTATAGTGTACTTTATTGATTCAAAATATTCCTGTATTGCCTCTCAGCCCACAAGAGCACCCGAGGCAATGAACAAATAAGGATTTATTAGAATTGCGCATAGATAAAAGCATTTTAAAAACACGTTTAAATACACTTTTGAAAATGCAGAAAAACACTCTAAAATGATCCTAAAAGTTTTGAAATAGTTAAAACAGCATTTTCAAACACTTAATGTCATCCAGAACAGCATTATTTTGGCTGCCCACCAGAAGCTTAAAAGAGATGGGTCACATTCTCCTTCACTCCAAGGACAAAGACAAGAGGGCTCAGTCCCTGATATCTGGGAAACCTCTACACAGTTATTGACCACTGGAATATTAAATTGCTTCTCCGTTGCTTGGTGTATCAGGTGGTAGAATCTAGTTAGGTGGACAGCTGTTGCCTAAGGACAAAATTTTGGTGTAGTCCTGAGCACAAGACTTCAAATAGTAATAGGAAAAGTAGTGTTCCCAGTGTCTACAGGGGAAATGTTCTAGTTCTAGTATGATGATCTGTCTATATCTGCATGCATGTGCAGGAAGGTTGTGGTCAGGGGAGAAGGCTATTGTGCTTGTTTCTTGAATGACAGGCTTCTCTGATGGGTCCAAGGCAGAATGGAGGGGGCGACTTGGGCAGTTAACAGGAAAAGGTGATTGTTCATGCCTTCTGTAGAAACCAGCTGTTCAAAGAGTAGGCAGAACAGAACTACTTCATCACTGCAGCATTTTATGTCTTTCTCTCATCATATTCTTTTCATTGTTTTCACTGTTTCAATGATACTACCACTGTAGTTATGCTGTCCTCAGAACCAATAAGATCCCAATACTAGTTAGAAAAATGTAGCAGGTTAAACTGCTGAGCTTCTGACTTGCTGACCGAAAGGTTGACGGTTTGAATCCAGTGAGCAGGGTTAGCTCCCACTGTTAGTCCCAGCTCCGGCCAACCTAGTAGTTCGAAAACATGCAAGTGTGGGTAGATCAATAGGTACCACTTCTGCAGGAAGGTAACGGCGCTCCATGTAGTAATGCTGGCCACGTGACTTAGGAGGTCTCATCAGCTTCGGTCTAAGGATAACGCTGGCTCTTCAGCTTAGAAATGGAAATGAGCACCACCCCCCAGAGTCAGACACGACTTGACTTAATGGCAAGGGGAAACCTTTACCTTTACTATTCACTTGGCTGTGGGACAGGATCTTCGTTATACTTCTGGAATATGAGCTATGTGTAAGCAAGCCTGTGATATTTGGTTTGACTTGTCTCCATAAACCTAGTTTTAGCATTAGGACTAACGCCAGATGTTCAAGGAAGTGCCTTCTCCCATTAGAGAAGCAAGGAAACCTGTTACATCCAACATCCCTTCTTGATGACTGTAGCAAGTGCAGTGACTCTGCCAATACTAGGTCAGTTCTGTAAAGCCAAGCTATGGTTTGGTATTGAATGCATGCTTCTTTCTCTCACTTCCTCCTGTCTTTCCCTGCATGTTTCATTTAATGAGTTGTATTTCCTGAACAACAGTTTAGTCCATCATATTTAACAGTACATAATCATTTGCCACACACTGGAAATGTCATTAACCAGTATACATATGAAGAAGAAAAGTGCTCATAACTGTTGGGTTCATTTTTTGTTGTTGCTAATATATACATCAACCCTTAATCTAAATGAATCTACAGAAAGGATTTTTTGCAATTCTTGGGTATTTCTTTTTTCAATGTATGACAGTTCCTATACATGGCCTTGGAATTACTTCACATGTTGCATAGAGACAAATCTGGGTTTGGTGTTAATAAAACACTCAGTGGTTCACTGCAGACAATCACAATTATCTGCAAAGTATACATGCGTAATATGTGTTTGGATTCAGATTTCATAGATGTAGGTGTGCCTGTTAATGACATGTGAATCACTGAGTTGTGTGTCTCCATGTTCTAGTTCAGCTATGCAAGCAGGAGGACAACTTGCTCTTCTGACTGTTGAGGGAAATAGTGCTGTTTACAGCCACGATGAATTGTATGCTGTCATTTCTTCTATGATACACTCCACATTTCAAGATTCCCGTCTTGGCTAAATGTGGTAGACACTAATGTGCTATTAATAATTAGCAGGATAGATATAGGCAATGGGAGTTTGGTAGGTTTTTGCTATAAAGTCCTAGTTTTCTTCTAGCACTTACTTACTTAGGCGATTCCTTGTTGTCTGAGTATGATGGCATTCCAAGTGGATACATAGGTGATTGTAGAGCCCTGTTCTTGATTTGCGTGTTCTCCTGCAGTGAGGACATCAGTTTCCAGATGGAAGGCGGTCCCAGTCAGGGTTGACTTGATGCGCCTTCCACTTCTCACGTTCCTCCCTTTTGCCCTCCATTCATACCTCTTCAAATTCCAGAACACTGAACAATCACAGCTGACCTCCAGTTAGTGCGCTCAAGGACCAGGGCTTCCCAGTTCTTGGTGTCTATGCCACCATTTTTAAGGTTAGCTTTAAGCCCATCTTTAAATCTTTATATTCACCCCATTTCGTGGATTCAAACCACCGATCTTCAGGTCAGCAGTTCAGCCTGCACAAGGGTTTAACCCATCGCGGCACCATAGAGCTTAGTTAATATGGATATGGATACTTTGGTCCAATTTCTATTGGTTAGTCCCAACTTGAATAATTGAAGTTGGAACTAAATTGACTCAATTGGTGAAGGATAAACCGAAGAATTGGTAAATCACATTGATTCATTGAGTCTTTTTTTCATTGGAACTGAGAATAAGCATCAAGCCTTGGTGTCCCACTCTTTTCTACCAGCTTGGGAAATCTTGGTGCATGGTTATTTAGGATTATATCACTGCTCTGTAGCTGGTAGAAAGGGGCTTTAGGTTACTGATATAAAGCAGGGCTTCCTTGCTCAATTTAGCAAATAATTCCCTATCATCCTATGTGGGAATTTCTGTTCAGTCTGTGGTCTATCATTAATCTGGTTGTCATGTCATCTTGGAGTTTTAGGTTGGTGTACAGAAACCATATCTGTGATTAACTTACCCATGCCTGTTCTCTCTAGGAATTTGCTGAATCTTGCAGGCAATTTTATGGTATCTCTCCCCCTGAACTTACAATAGAGGTACCTTGGAAGACCTAGCAAATTTGTAGGGGTGACACTTCTCAATTAATCTCTTCATCCTTCAGTTTAACTTTGTGGTATTCTGGAATCAGAAATTAGACAATTGAATAGTGTTCATTCATTCGTATCTGCAATTTTGTGTAACAACCTTCAGTGTGTGTGGGTATAAATCACATGTGGATATGGGGATCTTCACGAGTAGTATTATAGTATTTTTGGTATTATTTTGAGAGTTGATTTCAGCAAGCGACCACAGTGTCTCATGTATAGATTGTTCCAATTACTAATAGGTGTAATCATGGTGCATGATAATCTGGAAGTCTACAATATCTGCCTCTGCACCTTCTCACCTGAACATTAGGAAGAACTTCCTGACTGTGAGAGCTGTTCAGCAATGGAACTCTCTGCCCTGGAGTGTGGTGGAGGCTCCTTCTTTGGCGGCTTTTAAACTGAAGCTGGGTGGTCATCTGTTGGGGGTGCTTTGAATGCACTTTTCCTGCTTCTTGGCAGGGGGTTGGACTGGATGGCCCATGAGGTCTC